ACGTGGCCTTGTCCCCTGCAGGCTCTTCCAGCCGGGCCCGGGCGCTCCCGGGGCGGGCGGCATCCCGGATCCTGCCCCGGCCCTGCCGAGGCTGCTCTCAGGATGCGCTCCGGGTTAATGACGCGCTCCAAGATATTCCCTGGAGGAGCAGGGATGGCAGCCGCGCTCGGCACCTCCCCTGCCGCGCAAGGGCCAAAATCCATCCCCAGGCGCATCCGGAGCGAGGAAGGGAACGCCGCGCTCTCCTCCTGCTCCGGGGTGGGAAAATAACCCCTGGGAGCAGCAGCGCTTCCCCTTGGCCTCCCTTTCCAGAGGCAACCTGCAGTCGAGCAGGAGAGCACGGGCAGCCACGCGCAGGTGCTGCGAGGGGACAGGCCCGCGGACTGCCCCGGAGCCACGGGACGGGCTAAATGCAGCAGCAGCCCCCGCCTGGCTTCCTCTTTCAGTATTATTTCTTTAACAAATCAGAGCAAGGTGGGGGTTTTGCCTTTTTTTGGCCCTTTTTTCTGATTTTTTTTCCTTTTTTATTTTTTTCCGAAGCCAAAAAGGAGTTTGATGCAAGCAGTTTGGGGCTTTTGCTGCTGAAATCCCCCAGGGGAGCATCCATACCCAGGAGCACACTCAGCCTCGCAAACAGGGCCAGGTTGTCTGCCCATCTCCTCCTATGGCCAGAGACTTACTGAGGAGTCCAGTGCTGCATTTAGCACCCGAAAGTCTTCAAGGATTTCTTTTTTTAATCTAGTTTCTGGTACAGGTTACCTGCTGCCATGTGTATTAATCTCAATTGGCTTCTGGCCTGAAGGCAGCTAGTGAAGGCACCTCTTGTCCCGCGTCATTGTCACATGTCCTGGGGATGCACAGCAGCACGAGGATGCACAGGAGCATAGGGATGCATGGGGAAGCACAGGGATGCGTGGGGATACACAGGAGCACCGGGATGCACAGGGATGTATGGGGATGCACAGGAGCACGGGGATGCACAGGGATGCACAGGAGCACAGGAACGCATAGGGATGCATGGGGATGTACAGAGATGCATAGGGATGTACAGGGATGCATGGGGATGCACGGGGATTCACAGGAGCACAGGGATGCACAGGGATGCATGGGGATGCATGGGGATGTACAGGGATGCATGGGGATGCACGGGGATTCACAGGAGCACAGGGATGCACAGGGATGCATGGGGATGCATGGGGATGTACAGGGATGCATGGGGATGCACGGGGATTCACAGGAGCACAGGGATGCACAGGGATGCATGGGGATGCATGGGGATGTACAGGGATGCATGGGGATGCACGGGGATTCACAGGAGCACAGGGATGCACAGGGATGCATGGGGATGCATGGGGATGTACAGGGATGCATGGGGATGCACGGGGATTCACAGGAGCACAGGGATGCACAGGGATGCATGGGGATGCACAGGGACGCATGGGGATGCACAGGGATGCACGGGATGCATGGGGATGCACAGGGATGCATGGGGATGCACAGGGATGCATGGGGATGCACAGGGATGCACAGGAGCACCAGGACGCACAGGGATGCATGGGGGTGCACAGGAGCACAGGGTGGCACGTGGGGACACGGCCGCTCGTCACACGCGCGTGTGCGCAGTGAGCCCCTACCTGGTGCTAGCAGGCAGGAGCCCCTCGGAGCTGCAGATGAAGTTATCATTAGCATCTATTAGCAACAACAAACAATCTCAGCTGCCGTCGTTGTTGTAGGCTGGGTTATTAGTGCTGGAAAAACAGCTCCCCTAACACCCTCTGCGCCAGCCGCGATTCATCTGTGTCTAATTAGCAGCCGCTTCCTCCTTTGTTTGCTCAGTTAAAATTAACTCTCCTGACAGAGAGGAAAAAAACAGACGGAAAAAAGGAGCGGAGCCCCCGCAGCAGCCCCGTCCTCGCGCGGATCCCGGGATCCATCCCGGCCTCTCCGGCGCTCTCCCGGAGAGAGGTTTTGGGGTAGGCGTCCGCCTGACCCCCGAGATGGCTGTTGCTCGGGTGAAATCACCCCTGCCGTTCGTCACCCTCCACGTGCTGACGCGGTTGCCCGAGGCCGCTTGTAGCAGGTCGGGAATTTGTAAAACCAGCCCCAAATCCCCCTCAGGCCGCAGGTTTTCTTAATCCCACAGAACTGGAAACAAACCTCATCTGTTGTCGTGGGCTGGGATGACAAGGAGGGAAAGCGCCCCGGGCTGCGTCTCTGGTTCCGGCTGCGTCCGTGCGGATTTGCAGGATGCCGGGAAGGGAGGATGCAGCAACAGCCCCGCCGTTCACTCCTCATGGAGGAAAACCTGCGGTGAAGCCAAGGGACGAGCCCCAGTGCAATCCTGCTCTCCATGCAGCCCCATTCTTCTCACAAAACACTCCATTAAAAGCCCCACGCAAGCCCTGCGGCTGCACGCGGTGCTTCGGATGCAGAGCGCGAAGCAGCCCATCCACAGAGCAGAGCCCAGTGTGCCCAGGTCACCCTGACATTCCAGCTTATTTTTCCAGTTTCTTATCGCCGTTCCCGGAGGCGGCGGTGCCGAGTGCCTGTCCCCGTCCCCCTGCTCCACAGCAGGCCGAGGGGATGGAGCACGGGAAAAGCTCCTTGGAAGCGGCCGTTTCCCTTGCCTAGGCACCCACTTGCATTTCCCGCGTTGCTGGATGCGCCCAGCGCGCGCGGGCACCGCACCGAGCACCTGCGGTTAATCCCTATTAACCCCCTTCCCAGGAAAAACGCCTCTGATGAGGACGTGGCTGCAACGTGCTCGCGGAGCCGGCGGCAGCAGCCTTGCCGGCCGCCTGTGCTGCACATGAAACGTTAATTAATTTACCAGCAGGAAGGATATAAATAACCGATCAGCTGGTGTGGCTTGTGCTTTTTTTCCCGGCGGGAGCTGCCGGAGCCGCTGCGGGATACGGAGCCGCTCTCCCCAGCGCACCGGGAAAAGCAAACCGTGATGCCGGCTTTCCTGGGGGGTCCTTACAGCATCCTCAAGGGCTTGGGATGTTATGGATACGGATGATAGGGTGCGCATGGACCTCTGCACGTGCGCGTTTCCCTCGCTCCTTCCGCACGGGATGCACGCCGGGATTTGCTCCCTCGAAGCGTTTGCCGGGCCTGGGAAGAGGCTTCCCCGCTAGAGGGAGCGCGGCCGCATCCGGAGCGGAACCGGGAACCTCGGGAGCATCCCGGGCTCTCTCCAGCAGCAGCGCAGGCCGCACGACCCCGGAGCAATGGGAAAACCCTGGCCGGGCTCCCGCCTCGCAGCATCGCCAGGACGTCACCTCGGCACCAGGACCGAGGTGTCCCCAGGTGTCCCCACAAGCCCCACATGTTGATTTCGCTCCGTGCCCCCAGCCCGGCTCTCCGGGATACCGGGAGCAGGAAGCTGCCCTCCAGCCCCCCAGTTTTTGGTGTTTTGGCTGCTTTGCAGACGGGGGGCTCAAGCCCCCCGAGCACCCCAGCAAAGCGCTGCCACCCGTCCCGGGCAGGGCCATTAATGCTTGAGCCTAATGAATACGAATGGGCTCTTCATGAATGTAGCTTTGTGTCATTAAATTCCTTCACACCTCGCTGCTCCCAGAAAGGTTACTCTGAATTAAATGTAAATCACATATTTACTGGTACGAAACAGATCAGCGTGTCGGTTTTAGAAAACAGATAATTCAATAGCGCGCGGCGCTCCCGGCACGTGGCCGTGCTGCGGTGATGGATGCGGGGCCGTCCATCACGCGGGCGTGCGGGGCGAGGGGATACGGAGCTCACATTATGGGCAATTTACACTGTTTTTCCTTCCAAAACCCAAGACCTCGGCTCTTAATCACGTCAGGTGCCCAGAAATGAAAGGAGTTATTTCACCCATGTCACTCCGTATAATTAAAAGATTAAGGAACACGGTCCCCCAGGCTATAAATTAAGGGATGCTGCAGGCGCAGGGCCGCAGGAGCCGGCTCCAAGCTAGGATGGGGCTGGATTTGTCCCAGGGAACGTTCGCAGCCGGATGTGCTGCAGCCAGAGCCACCCCGCTCCAAGGAACCAGCTCAGCGTGCCGCTCGGGAAAAGCTCGGGAAAAGCTCGGGAAAAGCAGAGCACTTTTGAGGTGCTCGGAAGCTGCCGCCCGCAAAGGCCCCTAAGAGTCTGCGTTAACCAGCCCGGTGCGCATTAGCTTGCGAGGGAGAGCTGATCAGTAATTAAATGGCTTTTAAAAATAAAACCATTTAGACTAATCCCATCAAAATCGGAGCTGCACCCCGGCTACTCTTACTAATTAATATCCCACCTTGCCATTCCCAAACTCTGCTGGTGGCTCTTTAAATAAACAAATAAATATTGTATAACATTATCCCTGCTAAGCGCGTGCTCCTCCCTTGCCTCTTTCCCAGGGCAATCCAGAGACAGGACCAGGGCAGCAGCCTGGGATGCAGCTGGGGGGCGTAGGGATAAGCCAGGAAACATTCCTGCCAGGACAAGCGGCTGCAAATCCCTGGAAGCGCAAGGGGGATAAGGCCGGAGCTGAACCCGCCGCATCGCTCCCCTCCTCTCACGATAGTTTTAGGGTTAAAGAAACCAAAAGGGTTTTATTCGATTCTTGCTTGTTTGTTTTCTCCCCATCAATACCGAGGCCAGGCAGGCCACTTCCAGACAGTCCCTGGGGCCTGCTCAGCTATTAAAGACAGAAATTATATCTTCATAACGCAGGATATTGCTGCTCGCTTATTTATGGCCTGCTCCATTGCAAGAATATTTATTCTAGACAGGCAGCCTGATAATTCTCATCCAATCTGCTCCTCGGTGCCCGGGGCGAGAGAAGGAGCCGCTCCGCAGCCGGCGCGTTCCCTTATTGCCAGGGAAGGCCGCGCGCTCCGCAGCGCCGCGCGCTCCGCTCCCTCCTTTTCTTCCCTTTTTTTTTTTCTGAATTCATCGAGGAATGGCAGCCCACACAACCACTTAAAGGAAGTACTGCATAAATCCCAGCGCAGTAATTACCCATTTGGAAACATGATGCTTTATAGGAGAGGAGGCACCGTGCCAGGATGCTCAGCACGCGGCTCCTGCTCCAGCTGAAATCCTCCCAGGGCTTGTAGGCAGCAGTTAGCGTTCCAGTCACAGGCTAATAAAACTAAGCCCTTACAGCTGCTGCAGGAGAGCTGCGGCCCACCGAGCAGGAACGCGCCTAGGTGCAAAAAAGCCATTCCCGGCTGCTGGAAAACTCGGGGGGAAAACGGGGGGCAGGACGGGGCTGAGCGCAGGGCAGCCGTGTCCGCCCCGGAACGCTGCATCTGCCTGTCTTTCCTTGCATTGTGCAAGGTATGTGAATCATGTGCATCATTTAAGTGCACATGGTGCACTTAAACACCTAAACCCCACAAAACAGGAGGAAAAAATAGAAAAGTGGCTGTATGGAGGATTTCCAATAGCAATGTTGCACCAGCCATGTCTTTGTCTCTCCTTGTCCCTCTGTCCGGGCATCCCAAGCCCATCCCTGCACCTGAGCTCGGCTGCGAAAAACAAAAAAGAAAATGAAGTGTTGCAAAGGCTTTATTGCTTTTTGTGAAGCCGATTAGGAATATCGGCTGCTAGGTAAAGAGCAATATTGCAATATGAAGGATCAGGGCCGCTGCGGGCGGCGCGGCGCCAATTCCCCCCAGATCCCTCCGTCCCGCGGTTATCGCGGACAATTTGGGCAGCCTCGCGCACTAACTAGCTGGAGGACACACGGCTGGCTCCGCGCGGTAATCCGTCAGCTGCGCTAAATGAAATTGCAAAGAAATCAGCTTTCCTCCCCGATCGGCGGGGGGAACATGCCAGAAGGATTTCTTTTTTTAATACCAGTTTATAACGAGGGCGGTGGCTGCGCCAGGGAGGAAGCAGCCTGGCGGCCTCCTCCTCCTCCTCGGGAAGGAGCCTCACAAGGGCCAGGGGGGCAGTTTTGCAAACCCGTAACCACACGAGCACCAACGTGCCCGGAGCGGGGCTCGCAGCGTGTCCCCACCTTGTAGCGCAGCGGTGCAGGACGCACTGCCCGGCATCTCGATCCAATCCTCTGTGCACTGAAGCCTGGGACCAACCTCTGCCTCGGAAATGAAAATAGCGTGGTGTTTCCAAAGGAGAGAAGGGAAAGGAAGGGTCCCCTAGGTCCCTTTGGGAGGGTTTCCCAGGAGGAGGCAGCTCCCCATGTAGGCAGAACTCCAGGGATGAAGTCACAAGCATCTCCTAGGAGCAAATGGGGCACTTTTCCGTCTGCTTTTTTTAAGAAAAACATGGACAGTTCTTTTCCTCTGCCCATCAGCAAGGAGGAGCTTCCTCCTCCCAGAACTTTCCCAGGAAAACCAAACTCATCCCACCTCCTCCCAGAGGCTTTCTGTGGATTTGCTTGTGCCGCCCCTGGAGAGAAGCTCCCAGAGTGGCTGGTCCCGGTGTCCTTCATCCAGGAGCCCAG